CCAAAAAAAAAAAAAAAAAAAAAAAAAAAAAAAAAAAAAAAAATAAAATAGATAGGAGGTGACATAAGCAGATTGTTGTGCCTTCTTATATTTTACCTTTATGATTGTTAATTTTGGATACTTTACACTGTTAAGTTTTAATCCTCTTTTAGACTAAAAGGGGAATTGTAGGGGAAGCCGTAGCCATGCCTACTTAGGGGCTGGCTACAGGTGTGCCAAACCACGCTTGCGAGGGCATGGTCAGGGTGACGTAGAATGAGACTTTCAGGGGACTGCGTTTTCTCTTTCAGTTTCACTTTGGTATTTGCGGTACAGACTGCTGCCACACTGGCTGGCTGGGGTTCTCTGTAAGACAAGATTTTCTCTATTAAATACCCTTATATTTCTACCTGACTCTGAATTGGTAATTTCCCACTATAGAAAATTCCCAGGAATCAGAGGGATGACCCCAATTGAGAATCAAAGCAATAATGGAAACATCTCCTTAAATGCCCTTCCCATATAATGAGAGTGATGATTACTGTAAATGTCATCATAGAGCCTTCATCCAGTAGCTGATGGAAACAGAAACAGAGATTTACAGCTGAGCAGTGAGCTGAACTCCAGGAGTCCAAGTGTAGAGAGGGAGGACTGGTGAGCAAAGCAGTCAAGACCATGTTGGGGATATACACAGAAACAGCTTACCCAAGAAAATGGGAGCTCACTGACTCCAGATTTTCAGTTGGGGAGCCTGCATAAGACAAAACTCGGCCCCCTGAAGGTGGGTGTCAGCTTGGGGCTTGAAAAGCCTATGGAAGTAGTATTTATATCCAGTGCATGAACTGGCTTTTTGGAGCCCATTGAATATAGGGGATACCTTGGTCAGCCTAGATATGGTGGAGGGGGAGCAGGATGGGTCCTGCCTCAGATGATGTAACAGACTTTGGTGATCCCCACAGGAGGCCTCAACATCTCTGAGGAGTGAATGGGGTGTTGGATGGGGAGATGGTGGGAGGAGTGGGAGGATGGGAAGGGGGAAAGGAACTGGGATTGGTATGAAAAATATGATTGTTTTAAATTTAATTAAAATACAAAAATAGTATGCAGCAATTACTTACATTCATAAGCAGTGTAAGGTATGAGTTTGATTATTACATATTTGTGATATAATCCTAATTTGAACATGAATCCATGTGCTTTCTGTTAAACATGAATCAGAAACTTAGATCAAAATGTATGGAGTAGACACATGATGGCTTGTCCTTTTGTATATATGTTTCTCTTATTGGTTGATAAATAAAACACGGATTGTTCAGGCAGGAAGATAGGTGGGGCTAAGAGATGAGGAGAATTCTGGGAAATATAGGCAGACAGGAGACACCATGTGAGCCTGGGAAGAGAGGATGTGTCAGGCGTTCTTAGGTAAGCCAAGACCATGTGGAAACACTTAAATAGAAATGGGATAATAGTTAAGACAGAGTTAGGCAATAAGGAGTCCTAGACATCAGCCAATAGTTTCATAATTAATATAAGTCTTTGTGTGTTTATTTGGGGCTCAAGAGCAGCAAGACTCTGCCAGGCCAGAAAAATCCCCATCGACAGACACAGACAATGAAACAATTACATCTATTTGCTTGCCATTGCTCATTGTTCTAGGACAGCACACATTCTTGTTTAGAAGGACTGCATACACTGCTCTGCATTTGTGTCAGTAGTCTCTGAGGCTCCAAATTAATCACTACATATCAATACATGTTTATACTAATGAAAAGAAATGAGTTAAACAATCCTTCAAGTGAACATTGAAGCAGTATTAGTAATAAGCACACACATTTCCAAATTATATTTATCCAAAAATCCAAGAACGTTTTCTTGAACAACTGGGATAATTGATATGACCATCGATGCACCTTGTACGAAAAAGTTGATATGGATCTGTTGCTTCATATCCATATTTACATGCAAATTCCACAAAGTCCCCTGATTGTGTATATAGTTTTTGGTCTCTTATCCATCTGTAAGTTATGTTATGTCTTTTAATAATTTCCTCTGATATGACACATGCATCTGAAAGAAAAATTCATGAAAATTTATTAAGACATAAATCTACAGAATTCCTCAAAGTTTTTAAAAACATGTGTTAAAGCAGCACATGGAATTAGTTCGTACTGGATAGCAAATGATGTCAAACAATATTTTTAATGTGATAATTGGATTTCAACATCAAGGTTCCTAATGTCATTAAATAAGACACTTAGATTTCATGGCATTCATGGTTGTTTGCATTGGTTTAGGTATTGTACAAAGGTAAAAAATTTGAACCTTGACATGCATATGATATTCAGACCTAATGAGTATACCAAAAAGTGAGAATACTGTGACATGAATATACTGAAAAATAGTGCACTTAAGAAGCCAAATCTTAACTACCTTCATAATGTTCATTATTCACTTACAGAGATGTAACTATGAATAGTAATTTTTGTGTTATGAATTTGATTCTTATAGTTTTAAAAATAAATCTATCAAATCACCACACTGGATAAGCAACTAACCTGTCTGGAAAGCAACTTCTGCATCCAGCACCCTGAACCCTGGCTTTCCTTACACAGAAAACCAAGAGGACATAATATCCAAGTTCTTACTGTCTCCAACCAATTCATTTAGTGCTGCCATCCTGTTCCACAGCACATCTGACTATACAGTATTTTAAAGGCTGGGACTAAGTGCTACAGAGAGGGTGCCAAATTCCCATATCCAAATCTCTTTGCTGAGCTTTCCAAGAAGAGTAACCCTTAGTGATTAGGAGATGTGCCAACCACGGTTTCTGAGAAAAACAGCATCATCTTCTATGAGTCACTGTAGGAGTCTTGACACAACAATCGCTCTGTACCCTGTGCTGTCTACCATCCACCTGAGCCGAAAAGTGTCCTAGTATAAGCCTAATTCACAGAAACAGTGGTTCAGGTTGTGCCAAGAGGTGTTAATTACAATCAAGCAACCCAGAAGTGCTACATGGAAATAACTCCTTCATTGTAGCTCAAGATACATCTCCAGTAGAAGAGTTTTTGCTAAGAAAGTCTCCATAGATATGGTGTATACAAATTCCCAGAATGTGTGCATAAAAACCAAGTAGTATGACAAAATGGAAGGCATCAAGATTCTTCAAATGTGCACCTCTCCTCCACTAGAACAGAAAATACAAAAATACAGTACAAACGTCAAATATAGGTACAAAAATTGTCTTAATTTTATTTTAGAGCTAGGCAGTAATGGCTCATGCCTTTAATCTTAGCTTTCAGGAGGTAAAACCAGACAGAACTAGAGAGTAAGCACCAGGACAGCCAGGACTACTACACAGAGAAACTATCTCTCAAAACAAAACAAAACAAATAACCTCAGATATTTTGGAACACTGGGGGAGGAATCCTGATATCCAAACTCAATTTATAATGAAGAGCTACAGAGAGAAATACCAACTAATACTGGCATAAATATACACAGGTATCACAGGTATATAAAAGGACAGGAATAGATGACAAACTATGACTACCATTTTGGAGACAAGAGAAAAAAAAAAAAAAAAAAACGTGTCCAGCAAAAGAGCCTATCCACAAGTGTTGCTTGAAAAACAGGATTGCTAACCATAGAAGATTGAAATTAGAGTTTTATCTTTGACTTGTATGCATACATTTATTGCAATTGCTATGTCACAGTAGCTAAGAAGGGAAAACTGTGTGCCCACCAGTTGATGAATTTATAAAGACAATGTGAAATGCTTATATGTGAAATATTTTTCAGGCATTACAGATATATTTTATTATTTTAGTTACAAAAGGGCATTGGAGAACATTAAGTGAAATGAATCAAACACAGGAAGACAAGTCCTTGGTCTCACATAGTAGAAAGAAAAACTAAAATTACTCTTGAATGTATGACAGTGATTAATACAATTTAGATGATTATCTCCAAAAAGGAAATCTTATATGAGGGCCATGGATTTAATAACTACAAGGTGTATACTGATGTGGTGATTTGAATAAGAATGGCCTCTGTACTAGCTGGTTTGTATGTCAACTTGACACTCGACACAAGCTGGAGTCATCAGAGAAAAAGGAGCCTCAGTTGAGGAAATGAGATCCAGCTGTAATTAGTGATCAATGGGGGAGGGACCAGCCCATGGTAGGTGGTGCTGGGTTTTATAGAAAGGCAGTCTTGGGTTTTATAAGAAAGGCATGAAAAGCAAGCCAGTAAGCAGCACCCCTCCATGGCCTCTGCATTAGCTCCAGCCTCCAGGATCCTGTCCTGTTTGAGTTCCTGCACTGACTTCCTTTGATCATGAGCAGCTATATGAAAGTGAAAGCCAAATAAACCCTTTTCTCTCCAGCTTGTTTTTAGTAATGGTGTTTCATCACAGCAATAGAGACCCTAATTAAGAAGCCTCCATAGACTTATTAATTGCTTATTTATCAGGGAGTGGTGCTGCTTGAAATGGACTGGGACTATGGACTTGTTGGAGTACCTATAGCCCTGTTAGAAGTGTGTCTCTGGGGATAGGATTTAAATTTCAAAAGCCCAAGCCAGGCCCAATGTTTACAGCATCCTACTGCCTTCAGAGCCAGATATGGAACTCCCAGCTATGTCCCACCATGTTTGCCTGTGTGCCACCATTCCCCTCCCCCCCACACAGATGATGATGATGATGCACTATACCGCTGAAACTTTAAGCATTTCCCAATTAAATGCTTTCTATCATAAGACTGTCCCAGGTCATGGTGTCTTTTCAAACCAACAGAACACTGACTGAGATAACAGGTATGGTAATATCTTTCTGGCACCAAGTTGTATGGACATCAACGCATGTTAGTAAAAACTCAATAATGAAAAAGATCATTAATAATTTTGTCAAATATTTTATATGAAAAAAGAATCAAAAATCTTGCTTTCTCATCAGATGCTGATATTTGGCTTTGGTAAGCAAAGGAGAGCTTTTAGTCTGTGAATGTTCTATTATTAACAGAAAAATATCTGTATCATGAAACTAAATCTCCTATGGTCTATGAGAATGAGGTACTTACGTAAACATTTTGGTGGCTCAGACCACTCTCCATTTCTACATGTTATTTTCTTGTTGCCCTGCAGTTGGTACAAGGACTGGCACTGATATTCAACTGATGATAATGGTGCGTATACTGACAGAGGGAAGGAGGTGATGTCTCCATTGTCAATAGGAGGAGGAGGCCCACATTTCCCTGTTGAATCTAAGAACACAATGTTTGATGTTTGAGAGATCAAATCAAAGTACAGGCTTAAAGAGAAACAGTGAAGAAACAGTTCTAAACAAGTCTTTGGTGATTTCTAGCTACAGATCTGACTTACTTGAAGAAATTTTGAACATATAAACTCAGAGTTACAAGTTCTTCCATCTTTCCCACCTAGAGCAGTTCCTGAACTGGAGAAAGCATATCTTCTCTGAAGCCTTCTAGTGCTGTTAAAAGTCTCAATAGCTTCTAACATACAGATGCCAATGTAGAGGAACAGTGTTTCTTTGTTCTCAAGACACTGGAGTATTTATTCCTCTATATATTCCTGATCCAGTATTTATTGATCTACATATTCCTGGTCTTTATTATTATTTTTAGAAACTTATTTATGGACAAGAATTTGAAGCTTTTAAAGTTACAGAACACAAATGAGAGTTTCTTGATCCATTATATTGGTGACATAAGTATAGGCATCTATATGTTATACTTTTGCTAGGTACAATGGGAATTCTTGGACATAATATTTTTAGTAAACAATATAGGAAAGGGAAATACATTGGGAATTCTAGTTAAGAGATTCAGGACACGACTAACTTCACAATGCTGTGCGATATTTGTTTCCCTTCTGGACTGCTGATTGTGCTGGCAAGGCCACAGGAGAAGACTGAAATCAAGAATTGGTATTTTGTTCTGTTGAGTAAGATCTCAAGAGGAGTATCATGAAACTGAACTCCAACATTGTTTAGAAGAAAAAAAGTGTTCAAGATATAAAAAATTGTGTGGAGAAAAAAGGAAAAAGCTGGCCATAGGTGTGAATGTGCATATATTAGACCTGGCTAAACTCAAACAGTACACATGCCATGAAATTCATGAAGACACATGTATTGAAACTGCTTAAAATAAACATCTTGAGAAACATCTTAATGAAATAATCAGCCACACTGGTCAAGATCCAAAAGAAAGTGACTTTCCATCTACTTCCATGAAGACCATAGGAAGTGAAAGGAAATAAATGTCACCCTTGAATGCTATGTGCTGTGGTGCTAGCCTTTCCAATAAAGACAATAATGAGACATTTGCAGATAAAAGAAGGTAAAGAGGATTTATCTCCAACAGAGTTCCCCAGAAAGACATGTATCAGAATTCATTACAGAAATAAAATAACAATTAAAACTTAGGAGAAGAGTAACTGGTAAAATACTAAATCATCTTCCTGCTCATAAAATTATGTTTAAGTTTGAGATGAAACCTAGCATTGAGAATGGTGCTCCAGATATATAACAGGAAATGCTAAAGGAATCTTCAAGTGAAACATGGGAACCATAAATAGATTTTCAAGGTGAGTAGTTTCTACTCTTTCTTTGGAATAGACAATATCTGTATCAGTAATGGATGGCAAGCACAGAAATACCTAGGGTGACTTCAATACAGATGGCTAGGAAATGATTATTAATAACATACTCAAATTGTGTACTCAAAATGAAGAAAAGATGCAGGTCAAAATAGAACTTTTGAGAACTATTTCTCCAAAGCAAGCCGGGTGGGGTGTGGGGACAGACAAGAAATAAGACTGATAAATAAAGAATGCAAACACAAATTACCAAAAGAACACATGTGTCAAACACACTAGTAATTGTTTCACATGCAAATGATAAGAATACAGAGATTTGAGTGGTGGACTAGGCAGTTGAAGTTTCTTTATAGACATGATGTAAATTTATGCATCAACAATATATAGTTCATATTCACTAGTAAGTGAATAATTGTTGTAGATCAGGAAATTGCTAGTCCTCTAAAACTATAATAAGTATATGTTGAAAGTGCATCAAACTACCTTTGCATACCAGCTCTCCAATCCATGTGCGATTGACACATGTCACAATGTTGGACCCATTCATTTGATAAGAAGGTGCACATTTGAATGTCACTTGTTCACCTGACCTATATGAATCTTTTTCCTCTTCTATGAGTATGGCATTTTCAAACCTGGGTAAACTGTCACAATCAGTTCCTGAAATAAAAAGAATATATAGGGTTTTGTTTTCAGAAAAGTGTAGGATATAAAATATATAAAGCAATAATTAGGTTCATAGAGACAATAAATACTGCAGGTTTCTCATTTGTTTTAGTTACATTAAATTATTCCAAATTTATGAAAATAAATAAGATAGTAATGATAGTGGCTACAGATACCAACCTATTGATGGTTAAAATTCTTGACACATTTTCATATTGCTTCAATTTTTCTCTCAGATCAAAGTATGATACATTTCTACTTTTTAGGTTCATCAAATATAAATTAATTATAATTATGATTTCAAATTTTAGAGCATATGTAGCTGTAGTGGCATTGCTGCTAAAACCATCACTGTAGTGATGAATCTCTTGACAGAACCAGTGTTTTCTAGAAGTCTATGGATGCTGATAGCTCAAACTACATGAAGTGAAAATGAATAATTGGGCTCAAAGTTATCAAACTATGTTTTACCAGTACTGTTTTTGTCTGTCAGTATCCAGTAAAACCTTGTGATATGCTAAAATTACAGGTTACTTTTTTATTTGTGCCACATGTAGCTTGAATTAAAAAATCTATTACACAGAGAGTGAAAATAAAATTATACTTATGCAAGCTGGTGGCTGGGACCAAGTTCCTCCTACACATTTAATCAATGCTTGTCCAGAAATTCCAAATCCTTCAGCACAGCTGTATGTCACCTCTTCTCCATGTTGGTAACTGTCTAGTCCATGAGACACAATCCCATGAGGGATTGAAGGTGGAGGTCCACAAGGAAGTCCTTAAAATAACACAATGAGAGGAACAGAGTGAAATGATTCCACATTGCACTAATTCAGAAACTTGTTTGTATGTGTCAGTTCTATGTATAGTGGTATTGGAAGGAATGTTAAACAGGAAGATGTGCCATCACAGAAGAGGTGGACAGTGCTTCCTAAGAAGAATTTCTTTTGTCTCGCATCTCTTAAGCTGATTCAACCCTGAATAAAAACTTGACACTGAAATGTCTGACAAATCATGAGTGATAAAAGAAATTAAAAAAAAAAAGGAAATAAGAATCTCAGAAACATAGCATTTCTGGGTGTGTGCACTTAGAAGTTTAACACTTGGTGACATATGAACAAATGAAACACTACTGCTCCCATGAGCAGGTAAAGTCAGTAGACTATGCATCATATTAAAAAACAGAAATGTAAGAGTAAAAGTAGATTTTAAGACAATCAATCCAATTAATAAAAGCAGGATAGATCAATTTATGCAAATATAAACTTGTGGTAAAATTTATAAATGATTATATGTGCCAGTCTAAACCATTCTTTCTCCTGGCTTTGATGAGAGTAGATTATTGGTAAAGACTTGTTCTAAAACCAGAATTGAATTTTCATGCTTCTCTCACCGACACAACGAGGTGGAGAGCTCCACTGTCCCATGTGACAGGTTACACCATGATCCTCAGCCATCATAAAACCATCATCACAAACATAGTTGAGTGTAATGCCGTGTTCATGACTTCTGGAAAAATCTGTTTCTCTCCTTTCTTCTGATGATCGTGGTAATAAAATTCGTCCATGGTCTATTTCAGGAGGCTCAGAACATGGAATTTTTGCTATATGAAGAACACAAATGAAACAGTGATGCATAAATAAAAAGTTTATACTGGATAATAGAAACAAACTGTTTGGTTTATATCTTAAGCCCTAGCTTTTAAATACCCCATCATTTGAGTTCTCTAGAGTATTTAAAACAATAATGTTGTAAAATAAGTCATAGCTACTGACCAATGCATCGTGGCAATGACTGCCACCTTCCATTTTTGCACACCATTTCTTCTGTGTTCTGTATTAGGTAATTGTCTTGACAAAGAACAGATACTTTTTCTCCATCCCAGTATTTCACTGTGGTTTGCATCTCTTGGGCATTTGGAATCTGCGGTGGAGGAGGGCAGGATCCTTTGTCTGCTCCCAAAATACATCAGAAACCAGAATTCTTGACTAAATACAGTATCTTAAATTATTGAAGTAATGATTATCATTAAATGACAAATTACTTATGACTGTATAATAGTTATGTAGATTTTATAGTTTTCACCTTATATAGCAGTTTAGTAATTATTCTTGTCCTTTGAATTGTTCTCATTTGTTTTTTAAAGCAGTTTTGCAGTGTTTCTATAAAACTTATTTTAATTTATTCTAGTCTTTATGATGTTTTAAATGAATTATAATCTGAAATATATTAAATTAAGTTTACATAGAGTAGGAAAATTAAACTTTTCCAGGGATGGGTGAGCCAACAAATAGGTTATCCAATCTCAAGTTCTTAGTGCTAATCATATATCTATAGGAAAAACAATAAATGGACACATCAGGATGAATTTATATACACAAGATATATATATATGTATGTATATATATGCATGTAAATGTATGCATAGTGTGTGTGTGTGTGTGTGTGTGTGTGTGTGTGTGTGTGTGTGTGTAAGAAGAGGTCATGAATTGGACAGAAAGTACAGGGGACTCAGAGTTGTTCAAGTGGAAGAGGGAGAGTTGGAAATGATAAAAATGCAGAATTCACATAAGAAATTCTCAACAAAATTTACTGTGGTTTAAGAGTTCAAGGCTACTACTATCACAGGTGAGTAAATACTAGAATAACCACTAGAGGACAGTGCAAACAAGAGCTTACTTGTACAGGTTGGCTCAGGATCCCATCTTCCATTGATGCAGATTGAGTGTTTATACTCCTGCTTTCCTCTACATTTGTAACTCACACTGACATTATGATTAAATTCATTCCTATTGGGTTGAATTGCTTCCTTATCCTTTGCCTTTGGTGCTTTACACTTCTCCAATTGATCTGTTGCTATGTGAAAATAATTCCAGGAAAAATAAAATCAATTTCAAGAAATGAGCTACCTGCTAAGTTAAAATAGCTATACAATCAATGTACAAATGAAACTATTATTTATACCTATAAATTCTGCCAAATAAAATGATAAGGTCACCATATAGACTGGTCTATGATGTGAGAACTATGATGTCCAGTCTTTTATGTCTCAGAGACAGTATGTGTCATAAAGGGATATGCGTACTTGAAACCTACAAGAGCAAAGGAAATCACTGTCTCAGATACTCTACATAGGAAATGACATGACCAGCTTTGTTCCCATGCTTGAAAGCTGTGAAATGTTCACATTTGTTGCTCTCCCCTTATCTTAATTTTAGTCCATAATGTCAAAAATACTAAAAGTAAAATATGAGCAGATAGATTATTAAAAATTTGCTAGATTGAATTTTCTTTTTTGATAGATGTGTTGTTACAAAAAAGAATATCAAAGTTATACTGTGTTTTAAACAGTTGTTTAATTGCTAGTATTGGTATAAGATATTAGATAGTTGTAGTCACTGTCACTCTCCTTCATATTCCATTTGTAAGACTCCATAAGAAATTATTTCCTATGCTAGATCATCCAATAATACAACAATATTATGTCATAATAATAAAACTGGTTGTGTTATGACTTAAGTAAGGGCTATGTATACACCTTTCAATGTGTTATGTGTTGTAATTTCTAACGGACAATGAGAGTCCTTTTTGAATCTGAGAAAATTTCAGTATGGGTCCTGGATACATTTACTAATAATTTGAAATGAAGAGTCAAATGTATATGGTTAGAGTAAATAAAAGCATGTGATTAGCCAAAGTACTATAACTTTCTTCAAATATTTAAAATATTGACTAGAGTAATTAAAAATCTCAAGACACCTGAGAAGGACCAATAGTCATGGGGGCATGGGAACTATGTGATTGATTTGTTTCATAAGAATCTCTTATTTGTGATGAGAAAGCTATAGGTATGGAGAATAATAAAAATATATAGTGGAGGGATAAATATGTTTGAACTGTAAGCTTAACATTGCAGCACAAGGTTACGATAACTGAGGAAGGTCATATGAAGGTCACTATAGGCAGATAAATCAACAGAATAAAATCTCAGAAAATTGAACAAATAATAAAACATAATTTTGTAACAGAATGGAAAATTGTTTTCATTCCTGATATGTCTGAATTTTCTCCCATATGAAAATGTTTGTTAAACAGCTTCAAAAATACTTCTGTGACTGAATCCCTCCCTGAGGACCATGGGATCCTGTCTCTGCTGAGATCGCTGGGCCATTCCGGCCTCCACAGAGTGCAGAGAGTCCAGAGGAGAGCTGATTTGGCTCCTAACTTGAGCTCTAACTAACTTCCTAACTTCCACCTGCCCGCCCTGGCAAATCCTGCCCAGGGATCTGCAGGCTGATTGAATCAGTCCCTGAGGCCCATGGGATCCTGACTCTGCTGAGTTCGCTGGGCTATTCCAGCCCCCACAAAGTGCAGAGAGTGCAGAGGGGAGCTGCTTCAGCCCTTGTCTTGGGCCCAACTTCCATCTACCCACCCTGGCAAACCCTGCCCAGGTATCTTCGACAGGACGACTCAAACCCTGAGGACCAAACAATCCAGAGTCTGCTGACATCTCTGAAATCCAGAGAATCTTCAAGTTGTCCTTTGAAAACCTGTACTCCACAAAATTGGAAAATTTAAAGGAAATGCACAGTTTTCTGGACAGTTATCACTTACCAAAACTGAATCAAGAACAGATAAGCAACTTAAATAGATCTATAACCTCAAAGGAAATAGGAGCAGTCATCAAAAGTCTCCCAACCAAAAAAAAAAGCCCGGGCCTGATGGATTCACTGCAGAATTCTACCAGAAATTTAAAGAAGTGCTAATACCAATACTCCTCAAATTGTTGCACAAAATAGAAGCAGAAGAGACATTGCCAAACTCTTTTTACGAGGCTACAGTAACCTTGATATCCAAGGCACACAAAGACACAAGTAAAAAAGAAAACTACAGACCAATATCCCTCATGAACATTGATGCAAAAATTCTCAATAAAGTCCTAGCAAATCGAATACAAGATCATATCAGAGAAATCATCCACAATGATCAAGTAGGCTTCATCCCATGGATGCAAGGATGGTTCAACATATGAAAATCCATCAATGTAATCCACCATATAAAAAATGAAGGCAATATACAGCAAGCCCACAGCCAACATCAAATTAAATGGAGAGAAATTCGATCCAATTCCTATAAAATCTAGGACAAGACAAGGCTGTCCACTGTCTCCATACCTCTTCAATATGGTCCTTGAAGTTCTAGCTAGAGCAATAAGACAACAAGAGGAGATCAAGGGAATACAAATTGGAAAGGAAGAATTCAAACTCTCACTATTTGCAGACAATATGAT